CTAAGAGTATGTCTACACTGCAATAAAACACCCATCACTGGCCCATGTCAGCTGACTTGGGCTCCTGGTGCTCAGGCAGTGGGGCTGTAAATTTGAAATGTAGATGTTTGGGCTTGGAGCCTGGGCTCTGGGACCTCGTGAGGGTGGAGGGTCCCAGAGCCAGGTTCCTAGCCCAAGCCCAGATGGCTGCACTGCAAGTCAGCTAACACAGGCCAGCCATGGGTGTTTTATTGCAGTGTAGACATACCCTGAGATGCCTATCTCTCCCCATTCATTATATACAGAAACAATAACAAAATGTGGAAATCGCAGAGGTGCTTAATGACTTCTTTATGTTAGTTTTCACCAAGAAGCTTGGTGGTGATTGGATGTCTAACACAGTGAATGCCAGTGAAAATGAGGTAGGATCAGAGGCTAAAATAGGGAAAGAACAAGTTAAAATTACTTAGACAAGTTAGATGTCTTCAAGGAGCTGACTGAGGAGCTATCTGAGCCATTGGCAATTCTTTGGAAAGTCATGGAAGACAGGAGAGATTCTGGAAGACTGGAAAAGGGCAAATATAGTGTCAATCTATAAAAAGGGAAATAAAGACAATCCAGGAAATTACAGACCAGTCAGCTTAACTTCTGTGCCTTGAAAGATAATGGAGCAAATAATTAAGCAATCAATTTGCAAACATCTAGAGGATATAGTGATAAGTAACGATCAGCATGGATTTGTGTCAAACCAACCTGATAGTTTTCTTCGAAAGGGTAACAAATTTTGTGGATGGGGGAAGTGGTAGATGTGGTATATCTTGACTTTAGTAAGGCTTTTGATACTGTCTCGCATGACCGTCTCATAAACAAACTAGGGAAATACAACCTAGATGGAGTTACTATAAGATGGGTGCATAACTAGTTGGAAAACCGTTCCCAGAGAGTAGTTCTCAATGGTTCACAGTCATGCTGGAAGGGCATAATGAATGGGGTCCTGCAGGGATCAGTTCTGGGTCCAATTCTGTTCAATAACTTCATCAATGATTTAGATAATGGCATAGAAAGTACACTTTTATAAAGTTTGTGGACGATACCAAACTGGGAGGGGTTGCAAGTTATTTTATTTTATATTATTTGGGGGGGGGGGAGAGAGAGGGATAGCTCAGTGGTTTAAGCATTGGCCTGCTAAACCCAGGGTTGTGAGTTCAATCCTTGGGGGGGCCGCTTAGGGATCTGGGGCAAAATCAGTACTTGGTCCTGCTAATGAAGGCAGGGGGCTGGACTCGATGACCTTTCAAGGTCCCTTCCAGTTCTAGGAGACAGGATATTGCCATTTATTTATTTATTTATTTATTTAAGTGCTTTGGAGGAGAGCATTATAATTCAAAATGATCTGGACAAACTGGAGAAATGGAAGTAAATAGGATGAAATTCAGTAAGGACAAATGCAAAGTACTTCATTTAGGAAGGAACAATCATTTCCCATTTTGTATGCATGCAACTGACTGCCTAGGAAGAATACTGCAGAAAGGGATCTGGGTGTCATAGTGGACCACAAGCTAAATATGAGGCAACAGTGTAGCAAAAAAAGCGAACATCATTCTGGCATGTATTAGCAGGAGTGTTTGTAAGCAAGACACGAGAAGTAATTCTTCTGCTATACTCTGTGCTGATTAGGCCTCAACTGGAGTATCGTGTCCAGTTCTGGGTGTCACGTTTCAGGAAAAGTGGACAAATTGGAAAAAGTCCAGAGAAGAGCAACAAAAATGATTAAAGGTCTAGAAAACATGACCTATGAGATTGGGAAAAAAAATGGGTTTGTTTAGTCTGGAAAAGAGAAGACTGAGAGGGGACATAATAGTTTTCAAGTACATAAAAGGATGTTACAAGGAGGTGGAAGAAAAATTGTTCTTCTTAGCCTCTGAGGATAGGACAAGAAGCAATAGGCTTAAATTGCAGCAAGGGAGATTTAGGTTGGATGTTAGGAAAAACTTCCTAACTGTCAGGGTGGTTAATCACTGGAATAAATTGCCTAGGGAGGTTGTGGAATCTCCATCATTGGAGATTTTTAAGAGCAAGTTAGACAAACACCTGTCAAGGACGGTCTAGATCAGGGGTCTCAAACACGCGGCCCGCGGGGCTCTTGTGTGTGGCCCGCCAAGCTCCCCGCGCCGCTCCCCGCACACCCCCCGCTCCTTTGCCTACCCGTGGGATTGCCTCCTGACACTGCGAGCCTCACGCTGCTCTCTGAAGCAGCCGGCAGCATGCCCCTTTGGGCCGGGGAGGAGGGGAAAGGAGGCAGAGGGCTCCGGCATTGCCTACTTCCAGGCACCGCCCCCCGCAGCTCCCATTGGCCGGGAACAGAGAACCGCGGCCACTGGGAGCTTCGTGGGAGGTACCTGGAGGAGCGGCAAGAGCAGCACAAGCAGGGAACCCTGAGCCCCTCCCCCAGGGGCTGCAGGGACACGGTTCCAGCTGCTTCCTGGAACGGAGCAGCGCAGAGCCGGGGGCCAAGGCAGGCAGGGAGTGAGTGCCGTTGCAACCCCGGAGCCGCTCTAGGTAAGCGGCACCAGGCTGGAGCTCACACCCTGAACCCCTCCTGCACCCGCAACTCCCTGCCCTGAGCCCCCTGCCACATCCCACACCCCAACTCCCTGCCCTGAGCCACCTGCTGCACTCTGCACCCTGACCCCCTGCTGCACCCCTCTTGTACCCCACACACCAACTCCCTGCTCTGAGCACCCTGCTGCACCCTGCACCCTTTCTGCACCCCCTGGGGGCAGCGTTGGGGTGGGGACTTCAGGGAAGGGATTGGAATGGGGCAGAGAAGGAGTGGGAAGAGGTGAGGCAGGGGCGGGGCCTAATTGGAAGGGGTGGAGTGGGGGCGGGGCCAGAGGCAGTGGGGGGTGGGTGTCAGTGATGCGGCCCTCGGGCCAATGCACTAGCCCTCATGCGGCCCTCGGGGTCATCTGAGTTTGAGACCCCTGGTCTAGATCAGGGGTGGGCAAACTTTTTGGCCTGAGGGCCACATCGGGGAACAGAAATTGTATGGCGGGCGGTGTGAGCTCTGGGGTGGGGTTGGGGATGAGAGGTTTGGGGTGCAGGAGGGTGCTCCGGGCTGGGATCGAGGGGTTTGGAGAGTGGGAAGGGGCTAAGGGCTGGGGAAGGGGGTTGGGGTGTGGGGAGAGGCTCAGGGGGTGCAGGCTCTGAGCGGCGCTTATCTCAAGTGGCTCCTGGAAGCAGTGGCATGTTCCTTCTCTGGCTCCTATGTGGAGGCGCGGCCAGGAAGCTCTGCACGTTGCCCCATCCACAAGGCACCACTGCTGCAGCTCCCATTGGAGCGTGTAGCAGCCGGAGCGGGGCCATGCCACAGCTTCCAGGAGCCGCGTGGTGTGGTCCCCGACCCTGCGCCCTGGCTGGAGCGGGGCTGGGCCATGTGGCACTGCTCGTGGGCCGGCTTAAAACGGCTTGTGTGCCGGATCCTGCCTGTGGGCCATAGTTTGCCCACCCCGGTCTAGATAATACTTACTCCTGTCATGAGTGCAGGGGACTGGACTAGATGACCTCTTGAGGTCCCTTCCACTCCTATGAGTCTATGACTGTATAGAGCGCCTAGGCACCTAACTCGGCTTTGTGGATCTCAGTGGTGTTTTTGGATTTTCTAGGCACCTAAAAGTTAGGCACCTTGACACTCAGCGTTGCATTACTTGCGTCCCTTTGTGCATTCCATCCCTTATGCCTACTGCAGTTCAGTATTTTGCCCGTATCAGTACCCTTTGTTTAAACTCTTAGCTAGTTTTCAATCCATATGACAGTGTCATATTTAAGATAATTTGAATTCCTTTTTCTGTTAAGATTTTTGTGAGAAACTGTATTACATGCTTTACTAAAATCAAGATATAGAACATCTTCTGCAGGCTCATCATCAGCTAATAATGTAATTCTATCACACATATTGATAGGACAAATTCACAGTGCATAACTTTATTCACACTAATCTCTCTAGGTTCTTATGGTCCTAAGAATCCCTCAAAAACATTTAATATATAATAGTCATATAATATAATTAAGATCAAGTGCTTAATAGGATTTTAAAAATGACTGAATATTTAGGGGAAGGATTGTCTCGTGGCTAAGGTACTGAAATGAGGTTTGGGAGATATGAGTGCAATTCCCAGCTTTGTCACAACTTCCTGTGTTGCCTTGCTGAGCAAATCATTTAATATTTTTGTGCCTCAGTTCGTAATATGTAAAATGGGGATAATACTTCCATTCTCCTACTTTTGTCGTGTGTGTGTGTGTGTGTGTGTGTGTGTATATTGTAAGCTCTTTGAGACCGAGACTATCTGATAGTATGTAAACACATAGGCCCAGATCCACAGGTATTTAGGCGTCTTAGGAGCCTAAATACCTTTGTGGATTTGGGCCATACATAGCATATAGTACAATTGCATCCCATTCTCAGTTGGTGTCACTAGGTGCTAATGTAATAAAAATAACTATATGGGTAATGAGATTGTCCAGAATTACATTGGATAGAATAACTTTTTTTTTATACTTTTATATTAATTAAAAAAAAAAAAAGTATAATGCTTCAGTGTCTAAGCTGATCTCTGACAGGGGTTAGGAAGAAACTTCTCTTATGGACAAGATTTTCCTTAACTGTCTATTGTAGGGTTTCTTGCACCTTCTTAAGCATCTGATGCTGGCTACAGTCAAAGACATGATACTGTACTAGAAGGACCCCACTAGTTTGATCCAGTGTGACAGTTCTTATGTGACAAAAGTATTGCCCTTTTTTATAAATAAATCTAGCAAGATTTATTCTTTACAGCCCTCAATCCTAACAGTGCTTTTTATTGATCCTGGTCTCTTTACCCTTTAGATGTTTAGTGATTTATTTTTTTTCTGTTAATACCTTCTAAGAACATTCCCCCCCCCGGTCCTAACTGAATCTAGGGACTGAAAGGAAGTTGGTGTGGGTGATATAACTGGTGGATCCATCTATCCTTTTTACCTAGGCCTACGGAATTGTGTGGAAAGCAATTGATCGCAGGACAGGAGAAATAGTTGCTGTCAAGAAGATCTTTGATGCTTTTAGGAACAGAACAGATGCTCAGGTAAAGAACTGTTTTACCAATGTATTCTGAAAGACATGCATGGTGAGTACAGGGGTACTTCAAAGAGTCACACATTGACCTAGATGGGTAGATCTCTGGAACTTGTTGCCACAAGATATTAAGGATAAGAGCATAGTAAGTGATTTGACATTTATATGGGTAATAAGAATTTCACCCTGTATAGCTTACGCTAGTTAGGATAAAAATGTATAAGAGGTAGCCAAACCTCATGTGTCATGATGTAACTAACCACTGACTGGCTGATGTTAAGAAGAAACTTCCTCTATAGCCATGTAAATATTTTCATGTTACCAAGCAATTAGATTTTTCCTAGTCTGACCCCCACACATGACACTCCACTCCTTAATAAACGGAGTTTAACCATCGTACTGGGCAGTCACTTCCTCTTCCATCTATGATCTTATTGCTATGACAGTAAATATTTTTGTTTATTTCTAGAGAACATTTCGGGAAATTATGTTCCTGCAGGTAAGTAACATGTCTTCTCCCCTCTGATGTATCCTTTAGCTCTCCTTTGTATCTCTTCCAACCAGCATCCGCTTCTTTCCTTCTCATCCTTTGGTTATAGTGCAGTGGCTACTGCCACCACCTCTTGTCATGTCTCAATCATTCTTTTCTGTGTTGTCTGTCTCAGCAGTAGCAAGCAGTCTTTCCATGACTAGTGTAAAAAAAAAAAAAAAAA